ATCAATCACCGATAAGAAGAACAAAATGAAATTTCTCTAAAACCCCTCACATTAATCTCCTCTTCTTCTACATAGAAATTTTTTTGAACAAATGCAACAATTTATATATCTTTATTCTTGGACTGGTATTTCTGTAATTGAAAATTTGACTAAAACAACTTACAATGTCAGAGAATTTAAAACTGTAAAGCAATCACCAACAAGAAAATGACAAAAATGGGGAGGAATCAAAAAATGAATTTCAGCTTTTTCTAGAGAGAGAAACAAGGGTTTTGCAGAGAGCTTGCTTGTTGAAGAAGAAGAAAGAGAGAGCGAACTCTTTATATAGTACTAATTATTTAATTATGACCAGATAACGATGAAGAGTCTCCCGAATTACTCATTTCCTCAAACCTCAAAGAATTCTTCATCTCATCAACTAAAGAACTAGAACCCACACTCTTTTTTTTAGAACCCGACATTGTAAAATTGACAGAATGAACCTACAATGTTAAAGAAATGAAAACTGTAAATCAATCACCAATAGGAAGAACAAAATGGAATTTCTCTAAAACCCCGCCCATTAATCTCCTCTTCTTCTATACAGTACAATTTTTGAACAAGTGCAACAATGTATATATCTTCATTCTTGAACTGGGTTTTTCTGTAGTTGAAAAATTGACTGAAACAACTTACAATGTGAGAGAATTGAAAACTGTAAAGCAATCACCAACAAGAAAATGGAAAAAATGGGGGGGGGGGGGATTCAAAGAATGAATGTCAGCTTTTTCTAGAGAGAGAAACAAGCGTTTCGCAGATAGCATGCTTGTTGAAGAAGAAGAAAAAGAGAGGGAACTCTTTATACAGTACTATTTATTTAATTATGACCAGATACCGATGCAGAGTCTCCCGAATTACTCTTTTCCTCAAACTTCAACGAATTCTTCATCTCATAAGCTAAATAACTAGAACTCACACTCTTTTTTTTAGAACCATACATTGCAAAATTGACTGAATGAATCTACAATGTTACAGAATTGAAAACTGTAAATCAATCATCAATAAGAAGAACAAAATGGAATTTCTCTAAAACCCTGCCCATTAATCTCTTCTTCTTCTATACAGTACAATTTTTGAACAAATGCAATAATGTATATATCTTCATTCTTGAACTGGGTTTTTCTGTAATTGAAAAATTGACTGAAACAACTTTCAATGTCAGAGAATTGAAAACTGTAAAGCAATCTCCAACAAGAAAATAGAAAAAATGGGGGGGAATCAAAGAATGAATGTCAGCTTTTTCTAGAGAGAGAAACAAGCGTTTTGCAGAGAGCTTGCTTGTTGAAGAAGAAGAAAAAGAGAGCGAACTCTTTATATAGTACTATTTATTTAATTTTGACCAGATACCGATGCAAAGTCTCTCGAATTACTCCTTTCCTCAAACTTCAAAGAATTCTTCATCTCATCAGCTAAAGAACTAGAACCCACACACTTTTTTTTAGAACCTGACATTGCAAAATTTACTGAATGAACCTACAATGTTACAGAATTGAAAACTGTAAATCAATCACCAATAAGAAGAACAAAATGGAATTTCTCTAAAACCCCGCCCATTAATCTCCTCTTCTTCTATACAGTACAATTTTTGAACAAATGCAACAATGTATATATCTTCATTCTTGAACTGGGTTTTTCTGTAATTGAAAAATTGATTGAAACAACTTACAATGTCAGAGAATTGAAAACTCTAAAGCAATCACCAACAAGAAAATGCAAAAAATTGGGGGGGAATCAAAGAATGAATGTCAGCTTTTTCTATAGAGAGAAACAAGCGTTTTGCAGAGAGCTTGTTTACAGAGAGCTTGCTTGTTGAAGAAGAAGAAAAAGAGAGCGAACTCTTTATATAGTACTATTTATTTAATTATGATTTTAATTTTTTATTATCGGTTTCAAAATTTGAGTAAAGAATACGGAGGATTGCGATAAGATCATAGTTAGTTTTCATAATATCGGTTATTATTAATAATCCGCGTAAAGAAGGAGGGTTGTAATAAAATGACAGTTAGTTTTCACATTGTCGATTTTAAGTTTGAGTAAAGAAAGGAGAGTTGCAATAAGATGACAGTTGTATTTGCATTATTGGTTTCAAAATCTGAATGAAGATTTTGTTATAAATTGAAAGTGAGTCTTTACATTACTGATTCTGAATTTGAGTATACAAGGAGGGTTGCGATTATCAATTTCAAAATATGAGTCAAGAAGAAGCGTCGCAATAAGATGATAGTCAACGTAAAACTAAGAATACAATTAATATGCTTTATTGTTGAGATGTGATCTTCTTCCATGCATGTATGACGACTTTAAATTTTATGGTACTCTCTCCGTCCCTATCTAGCTGTCCACTTTAGAAATGACACACAGATTAAGGCAACGGTCATTAGCATAGTGAAGTTACAATTTTACCCTTATAGTACAATTTACAATTCCAAAATAAATTCACTCAAGATAACTAATCAATGCTGGGAAGTTCATAAGTTTATTTACTTTATTTATGACAACTTTATTTAAATAAGGGTATAATAGGAAAAATTTGTTGTCCTTTCTTGATTTGTCAAAATGGACAACTAAATAGGGACAACTAAAAGTGAAAATATGGACAACTAAAAAGGAACGGAGGAAGTATTAAATAGTGAAATGTAGTCTATGAAAATTTATATACTTTATTTACGATGAATTATCAAAATATAGATAATACTAGTTCGAGTTCACTTAAACAAAGATTATGATATGATTTTATATAACAAAATATGATAAATGAGGATTCATATAGTCGATTTGAATTTATTTAGAAGTGAGGATGAAAATATATATTGTCAGTGGATTTTTTACGTTTGATTTGCTTAATTCCTTTATTATTATGAATAATTATGTCTACTTGTATAAGCTTGTTCATATTATCAATGACAAATAATTTTAAAAAAAAAAATGAAATACGACAAACAATCAATTACCGTTAATTCAATTAATTTATAATAAATTTTCATAATCCGATTATTGTTGGGACATGTTCACCTAGACGCGTATTACACAAAGATGATGTTAAATCGTGAAACATAATTTGTCTGTATATTGTCAATATCAATATGAATTATCAATAATATTCAGCTAAATTTGACTTAGTAATTCCTACATTACTAATATTTGCCTTAGTAATTCCTGCATTATTAATCCATATGTTACTAATTCATGCATTGTTAATTTTTATACCAATCGACCTTTTAGATTAGTAGCCTCATTCGCTACACTGCATGCTCACCTCACGTTTATTAGAACTAATTTTGTTTCACCATAGCCAAAAAATATTGAAATATTAATATATAAAGAAAATATAAAAGTATTCACATTTAAAATATTAGCACCAAAAAGGAAAAAACCACCGTAAATAAATGATGAGATACGTGTTTTTAGAATGTTTTAGACGTAAAAGGTCATAAAAGATTAGTTCATAATTAGTTTATTAATTTTTATACCAATCAACCTTCTTTATATGCTACTAATAATATTAGTTCTTTAATTCGAAAAATAGTTCAGCATTAGTTAACTCAACCTTCTTTATATGCTAATATTTGAAGATTAATTTTTTAAAATCTAATATAATTTTCTTCAAAAGTTCTCGTACCATTAAAGAGTACTAATTAGGCATAAGACTTTGCTTAAGCACCTAACAAGTTCCAAACAATGCCATCATCACCAAGATTTTATGATCTTATAATTTGAAGATTTAAATATGTGTCACCCATATCAATCAAGCTAGTAATTTTTATAACTAACAAAATCAATAAACCCTTTTTTTTTTATATGCAATTTTAAATTATCGATACTTATAATAAATCGACTTGCATACAAGCAAATTAAGATATTCACAAATCACGTATCACGCTATCGCTTTAATTTTATCATCTCCATATTCATCTCGTCTGCTATTATTTCTCTATATATCAATTGTCCGACTAAAACAAATTTAAAAAAATACTTTAATTTTATCAAAGCTCAAAATAGTATGATAGAGAATAAGTGGTACGGCTTCACAAATTTTATAATAGAAAAAATGATCAATCATTAATTTGTTAGATTTTCCTCTGACAAAAACATGTTGATTGGCTCTTTTTTTACTTCACAGCAAATCATAGCATATTTAAATACATAAAGCTAAACTCAACTTTTTCTTTTAATTGTTTTTGTTTTATCTTACGTACTCTTTTAACATGTCCATGCAACTCAATTTTCTTTTATGAAACATCGATAACTCCTTGAAATATTATTAGTTAATTTTATTTAAATATTTAAATTACAATATATAATTTTAATTGATTATGTGAATATATAATTAGTATTTTCCATATGCAAGGGATAATTGTCCTCCTCCTCCTTCTTCTTTAAAATTCAACGTACCACAAAAGTGAATTATTTTGAGTGAAGTATATATCAAAAGACTCAAAACATCGAAAGGATTTCATATCTAAAATGGGATTGTTTAGAGAAGATTTTGAGTTGAGCGGGATTGAATAGTCAGTGTATACTTTGTGTATAGTTAAGCTATATTCAGTCTTTTTTGAGTGTATCCTGATATATAGTCAATGTATTGCTCAGTATATAGATAAGCTATATTTAACTTTTTGATTGTATTATAATGTATACTAAGTATATACTTTTTATGACTTTTCACACTATTTTGAATGTAAATAAAAGCATAATTATATTTGTTGTAAACTAATTACTTTATTGTATATATTTAAAAAGGAGATAATATTCAGGTGAGGAGTTAACAAAAAGAATTGCAGTTCACCCATTTGTGGGCGAACTACCATTAACGTTTGTATAATATTTGTTTGGATGAATTTGGAGTTAACAACATGAACTACGACGCTAAAAGATGGTATATTTGTTGTAAACTAATTACTTTATTGTATATATTTGAAAAAACTAAAAGAAATCACATAATTAAGAGAGACAATTTCATCTCACAAACCAAACTCAAGACAGTTGCAAATTGAAAAATCTCCTTTACTATCAAAGTTCCGATCGTTTTGTGCAACAATGGTACAACAACAACTATATATGTCTCAATCCCGAGCAAGTTGAATTCGGCTATATGAATCATCTATCAGTATCCATGTCACTCCATTTGAGTTTTGTGCAACATCAATGGAAAACAAATATTATATATATTTCTTATATCTATATATCTCATGAATGACTGGCTGTGACTTCCAGTTGATCAAGATCATCAATCATCTTCTGATGGTAGAGTTGGACTCTTTGAGCAGACATCGTTTGCATGGAGTTCCAACATTTTCTTCTCCGGATTACACAGACCTAGAGGATAAAATGAATAAAACGCGGGTATTAGATAGTTGAAAAGAACCAAGGAGAAATATTGTCAGTGTCTGAAATCTTATCAAACAGTTTTCAATGGCATCTAGCTGGTTCAATGGAGAGTTAATCGCACTTGATACCAACTATGCTACCTTGTTGATTAACCGTACTAAACGAATTTGGAGCATCTCAGATGATTCATAGAATTTAGGGATGAGACACATGCAAGCAGAATACAGAGATGCAATGATGAAAAGTGTGAAAATGCATTAACAAATAACTAGGCAGTGTATTTGTTAGGCTTGGAACATAATCACATCATAAAATTGTTACCCTTACCATCACTAATATATTTCATAAGCTAATAATAAAAAAGGGCAGCCAGGTGCATTAAGCTCCCGCTATGCACGGGGTCTGAGGAAGGCCGGACCACAAGGGTCAATAGTTCACAGTCTTACCCTGCATTTCTGCAAGAGGCTGTTTCCACAGCACGAAGACTCCTCTTCAACTTCACCATAAGCTAATAATACATGTTGGATATCTTTTTATAGCAATATGTGCAATGAACCACGTGTAGGAATACACAAAGTCAAACAATCTTTCATCTGCAGTGCTGAAAGTTCAAATTTCATCATCCAGGATGCAACAAAAGCAAAAACACTATTTTCTATTTCGTCAACACAAATTTACACACCATGAGAGCTAGCACCTATGAGTGTTGCTCTTAATGAAAAACTGAGGGACAGACCTGAACACTTTGGAATATCCCACACAGCAATAGATGATTCTGTACACTCTGGTTCACATAGTTGCTTATTATTCTCATGATTGACATTCATTGCAAGCATCCAGGCTCCAATGGTAACATCCTCATTGCTAAACATTCGGAAACTGAGAATTCACAGGAAAAAGAGAGAACTAATGAGCTATCACTCCTTTGACTTTAAAAGAAACAGACACAAAAGGTTCAATAAAATAAAGAAAATGAATCCCAGAAACACAGTGATGTGAAACGAATTTTAACAACTGTAATGTGAAAGGATATGGCCAGCTTTTTACCATAAAGATCTTGTGTTTAGTCTAAACTTTTAATCTTCCAAATACCAATAGATGTAATCAACTTGAAGAATTATAAGAGCAATTTCTTGTTGCTGAAATGTACTGAAAAATGTCTATCTATGATAATTCTAGTTTTACAGAAAAATCATCTCATCATGTCAAAGAAGTTGCCAACACATCCTCTTTTTTCCTTATATTTTAACAATGATTGACTTCCAATTAGTAACCTTGGCTTAGATGAAACAAGCTACTCCATTAGTCACATCATTTAAAATTTTGTATACTCAGACTGTTGCCTTATGGTCAGAAAGAATTCTAACTACAGCAACTTGAAGTTTCATGTTACCTGCACGGCGAGCTAATTTCGAGACCTACTTACTCAACAAGGACAGAAAATAATAACCATTACTCAAGTTGGAGAAAAACAGAAGCAGCATAACATGAATAGGTAGCAGATGTTCTTGAATTAAGTCTTACCATCATTCACAACAAACACTTCCACCTAACTGTTATAGACGATACGCACTTTGTAGGGTGACAAAAAAATCACTTCAGAACAGATGAGAGACATAAATATTTAATAAAAGCACACACTTGCCTGTTGTTTCTCAGGGCAACCAAACTTGCAACAACATCAGCAGAAAGAGCATAAATAGGACCATAAGCATGCAGAAAATACTCCTTCCCCAGAATAGATGAAAGTGGTTCATACCTGTAGCAGTTGAACAGATTCAATGAGACAATACTGAAGATAAGAACAACAATAATCCTGTAATTGAAAGCACAATTTTTCTTCACATTTAGTCATTGGTATGTATTTATCTACATCTTCTTTTCCTCAACATTATCACAACTTTCATGGCATATATAAACAAGCATAAGCTGCTAATGATCATTCTTTTGGTTGGTTGCTAATGACCATTGTGTTCTCAAAATAAATAAATAAGACGGCAAGACACATAATTATACAAATACAATGTATTGCCGTGTTATTATTATGTATTACTTAATTTCCACCATAAAATCTGTGCCTTGCTTTCGTTTTCTTTTTCAGTTTTGGTTCTCCTCCAATTTAGCACATATTGATCTTCTCATTTTTGATGACCGAGAAATCTCTCTCAGCCAAATCTGTTGGACCAACCGCAACATTTGAAACTTGTAATGGGTCCACCTCCCTACTCTTCTCCGCTTAACTAACAGGCTTAGTTAGCATGGCGTAGGGCTCGAACCTGTGACCTACATCACAAGTTCCTCAACCTTTGCCACTTGAACTAAGCCTAGGGACATTTAGCACATTTTGATATTTCACTCTTTATCCCTAGAAATATAGAGAGTAAGTTGCAATCTTAATGACATCCAGTATGAATCAGTTCTATAAAAATATCATATTTGAACCCCTATCTTAGTAGTCCTGCCAAGTAAAATTTAGGATAATCAACTTGGAATGCTTTTCACACATTAGAAAATAAACTTGAAAAAATTATGTTGCCAATTATATAAGTATATAGGAAACTCCTATCAGAATCAGACTAACCATTTGAGCTTGGGGTCAGTGAAAACTGGACCCTTTTTCATACATCCAAGGTATGTTTGTGAGTGAGACCGCTCTTTGGCCAAGAGTAATGAAAGGCGATCTGTTTATGGAATATCAAAGCAACATGAGATCATAAAAAGTTACAGTAGCATAGGAATCATAACAGAATACCTCAATTAAAGAACAATAAGAATAACAAAGCATCAGAATTCTAGCTACCTGGCCGTAAATATATGTCATCATCAGCTTTAACATAGAACTCGGAATCATAAAGTGCATAGGCAGCCTTGAAAAAGGCTAATCTGTAAAAGCATCTTGGTGTAAGTGTAGATCACAAACAGAAGAAGCTAATGAATAATAAATGTCAGAACTAACGTTTTGTATGGGAGCTTACTGTACTCTTCTTCAATGTCCAATAGTACAAAATCATCATATTCTGCTACCTCTTTCTTAAGTGCTGACATCTTGGATTTATCACTTGTTCTACCAATAACAAATCTAAAAGCCAAGCCAGTGGCTTCTTCTAACCTGCAACATTCATTCAGCTGGTTCAGCAAAATTCACAAATCTAGGGTAGTACAACTACACATAAAAGTAATTCGCAGGCCAATACACATGGTTATTGCAAAAACAAGTGAACCTTTAAAAAAAAACTACAGCGGAAGAGCTACAAGTTTGAAGTTGTTAGTTAAAAAAACGACAACTTCTGCTTAAGAAGTGCCTGAATGATTAACTATCTTCCAGCCAGTAAGTTCTTCCGTTCTCCTTTGTCTTAAACTTAACGACTCTGCAGTAAGCATTTAGTCACATTCCATTCTATTCCATTTTCATGTGCTTTATATAAGCTAATAATCTACAACATATTGGCCAATTTCCAGTAAGTTCTTGCTGGTCAAGTTTCAGGACACAGTCAAATCAAGCAAGCATGTGACAAATGATTCGGAGAACATGAAATTAATAATTTTTTTAATCAAATTTATGGAAACCACACCCATACTGGGTGTCTTTCCACGATACCATATTAGTGGTGAGAACATGAAATTATTCGAAATAGATCTTCATTATGGTTAGGAAGGCAACAAACAACACATTAAGTAGTCCCACCACATCATCCAAAAACAGTTTAAGATGTACTTTTCATTTTATAACAACAATAATAACCCATATACCGCAAATACTACTACTGCAACTTCGTCCCTAAAGCTACATTAACTCAAAGACCTGACTTTTTGTTCTCAAAAATAAATTGAAGCTCGTTTTCACTTTCAAAACTGAAGTTGTAAACTCTATCAATCAATCAATCAACTACACCTCAATTCAAACTAGTTGGGATTGGCATATATGAATCAATTCTGCTCAACTAGGATCCAAGTGCAATTTAAGATCTGAAACTAAAATCTTCCCATTTGTCCAACCCCGTAGAATTAGTCTAGGTGTGCACAAATTGGTCCAAATACCACAATTATCAATAAAAATGAACTGAAACTTAAATCTTGCACACTATCAACCCACATTCTGTAAATATTCCTACTTCAACTTCGTCCCCTAAAGCTACGTAAACTCAAAGAACCCGCCTTTTTGTATTAGAAAAGAAAACGAAGCTAGCTTTCCCTTTCAAAACTAAAGCTGGAGTAGAGAGAGTTAAAATCTATCAATCAGTCAAAAATCAACTACACCTCAATCCAAATTAGTTGGGCCTGGCATATGTGAATCAATTCTCTTCTATTAGGATCCAAGAGCAATTTAAGATCTCGCCTCTCTATCCCGCCAAAGTAGAGATAAGGTCTAGTACATTCCTACCCTCCCCTGACCCCACTTGTGGGATTACACGGGATATATTGTAGTTGTCCAGAAATGTATGATCTGAAAATAAAATCTTTCCATCTGTCCAACCCTATAGAATTAGTCTAGGTGCGCGCAAGCTAGTCTAGATACCACGGCTATCAAGGAAAAATAATCTGAAACTTAAATCTTACACAATATCCTCAACAGAGATAAAAGAGTATGAATAAAAGAGTATTTACATATAGATAGAAAAAAAAGGTATACTTTTGAAGCCCATTGTGATCAGATGGAAACCAAGTCCGGCGCAACGATCTCCGGCGAGCAACCGATCCAAACCCAGTCTGAATTCCAACAAAACCCATTACTTTATGCCTCTTATACCCTCCACCAGTAACCCCAATTCCATTTTCTTCTCTACTCATCACATTTCTATCCCAAGCAACAGTAACAGATCTGGGTTCAGCATATTTACAGCTGTTTCCTAAACCCCTCCTCGAAATCGCAATAACCCCAAAAACAAACCCAGCAAAACCGATTAGAAAACATAGAATCAAGATTGTCGATCTACGGGAATGGTAATAGTACGAATAGGATGATCTAGCAGTGAAAATTTTTGGGTTTGAAGGCATTTCTACGCAAATGGGGTTGTTGAAAATCTGAAAAAAAAATCGAATTTGGGGTTCTAACCAGTGTAGTTAAGATTCAAGAATCGGATTACAGAAACTGATTGTTGCAGATTTCTACTAAATTCAACTGAATACTCATCAAAATGTATACTGAGCTGACAGTTTGTTGGAATGGTTGTTACTTGTAACCTCTAGTGTTAGTTGGAGGTTACAAAAGCATAAGCAAGTTTCATTTCTATCACCCAATATATTTAGTTATTATATTTTTGAGAACTTGCTCTTACCATTCTAGATCCGCCTCTAAATTTTTGAAGAATATAAACTTTATTGTATAGAGTTAACGATAGAGTAGTATTTATTGATGAGGTTCGAGGTGGAGTTAAGATGAGATTGAAAGTTTGAAAACAAATTTTGGAGTCAAAATTTTTTTAAGATGAGTCGGATTAAAATTAAATATTTAGAATGCAAGTTCAATTAGGGGTGGACATTTGGTATTCGGTGATACCGTATTGATGTTATAGCCGATTGTATTACAAAGTTAATATTATTTCTCCAATCATTTCTAATTTTTTTTAATATATAGGCACGATATAATAGAAGATCAATAAGTAAGAAGATATTAAGAAAAACAAATTGATACAACTAAAAGACATATGTATTTGGATTGTTCATGTTTATTCTTTAACTTTCTCTTTGGACTTGTAATAGATATGTTGATATATGACCTTCATTAAGTAAATAGTTTGGTATTTGGGAAATATCAAATAATTTGGTACTAATATTTCATACCAAATCCGATCTCGAATACCATAATTCTAAAACTTTATTTTTGAATACCATATCAAATACCGAATCATCGAATACCAAATTAGCAAAAAAAATTATTCAATTAGGTAATTCGATTTACGATATTTTATACCCAACCTTAAGTTCAATAATGTCTCATCTAGTATATGTAGATGTGAAACCTGACACACATGTCATCACTAAAAAGGGAAGTTTTAGGTACCACGGAGTCACTAATCAAAGGCAATAGGGAGATTGATAAGAATTTGGGGTAAGGTGGATGAAATGGAGACTCACATTAGCTACCCTATAAGAACGTAATACTTGTCCTCTATGGAATGGTGGCTATATGAACTATGTTTAATTGTATGGAGTGTTGACCAAACAACATTTCTCATGTTCATAAGTTAAGAGTGACAGAAATGAGGATGTTGAAGTGAATGTATACCTTTGTGAAAGACAAAATGTAAAAAGTGAGATTGAAATGGTTCATGCATGTGAGAAGGAGAGGTGCAGATGCCCCGATTATAAGGTGTGAGAGGTTGACCGTAGTGGTCATGAGAAAGAGTAGAAGTAGGTTTAAGAAGTATTTCAATCAATTTTGTCTAAGCCATTTTTATTTGAATTTCAGTCATATATGGGCTTAGTTCCTCATTTCTTCAACATATGTAACTTTTAGACTTGTTTCGAAATTGGTAAAGTGACATATGATTCTTTCATTACATATCAGAAACTAAGCAAATTCATAGTCTATTAAATTTTTTTTAATTTGTATAGAATTTTTATTCAACATACCCTAATGCCAACCATGGTCGGTAGATACACAAAAATTTAAAAACTAATGATAACAATAACATGTTCAATATAACCTCGAGAGACTATTTCCGACTAGATTACATGCCCAAATTCCTTATAGACGAGCACCGGGCCTGCATGAACAAAAACTTCAAGCCCGAACTTTGATGTCAGGCCCAAACATGCATTCTCTCCGAGCCCATTTAGGCCCGTTTCCGTTCTTCGATCCCCTTTTGGGTCTCCACGACCAATAATTCACTTCCATTTTTGCTTCTAATGGCGTCTCCAAACCCTCACAGTTCGCCGCCCGTCGCCGTTGACCAACGCCGCCTTCAATTTACTCCGGTTGATTTACCTCTCACTCCGCCGGTAAGTACTCCTCTTCGTCACTGTTGCTCGGAGCTTTTTGTGTTTTAGAATGACAACTTCAAGTGATAAAAACTGAGTTCTAAATCTTATATTTATACATTTTTAATGAATTTCTTCGCACACATACACTAATGGATCTTCATTTTGAAGACGAGAAGTTCTGTATATAATGAATCAGGTAGTTAATGCTCTCTGTTTGAGTTGATGTTGAAAGAAAAAAAGTTGTTGTTTTTATGCTTAGTGTATCTCTTGAGTTTGTTTGATTGATTCAATCTGTGTCCTTGCTGATAGACGTCGAATTAGCACACTGATGATTCGTGGAAACTTAGCTTAAAGTAGAATTCAGCTAGTTTTGGAGCTTCTAGGGATGAAATTGGGATTCTTCGATGAGCTTATTTGGGGTTCGATTGAAAAAGGAGGTTGTAGATTTAAAAAAATTAAGTTCGAATAGTCACTTGTGTCGTAGCATAGGAGTGAATTTTTTTTCTTTTTTTGGTTTAACCATCCAGTATCTGAAGCACACTTGCCCGACTAATCTCTATTCGAGCTGGAAAGAATAAATGGGTAAAGTACACTCTACTAAGAAGTTCTTGTTTCCCAGAATAACTAAGTAAGCTGTGAAATGGAATGATGGAAACATTAGATGCCAAATGTTTTTATCTTAGAAGCTACTACATTACACGTTTGATGCAGTATGTTCTTTAGGATTTCCATCTTGCTGATCCGTGGGACTAATGTATACTGAAGAATTTAAAATCTTAGGCATTATTTAGATGTGTCATCAATCAGTCTGTTAATTGGATTGCATTGCTGACGAAGACTAAAAGGGCTGCCCGGTGTACTAAAGCTCCCACGATCTCTGAGAAATACAAAAGAATGCAATGTGTTGCAGCTAGTGATTTGCCAAGCTTGATCCTTGCTTAGACAAAACTTGAAGCCCAACTCTTTGAAGTACCCGATTATAGTCTATTTAGTGCTTGACAAGGTGTGATACAATAATTCTCAAAAAGACGATGGTTGGTCATATTGATATGCTATCATGTATCCACTTTAAAATGTGTCTGCAGCTTCCGTTTCTTGTATATGGTGTTGAATTGTAGGATCTTCCTTGAGGATAGTTTCTATAATTATTAAGCCAAAGATAATGACCTGTTGTTGCTAATATTTTGTTATATGAATTTATACATGTTGCCGACATTCAGATTGAGACATATAAAGAGCTCAAAGTTTGGACATACACTTGCTTTTGAAATTAAGTAACTTGTTGATTTTCATGTTAAATGTTTAACGTGAGCTGTGTCAGATTTCCTTCTTTGAATCCTATTTGTAAAGTGGTTGCTTTTGTTTAGATGACAGATGCTATTCCTGAGGGTATTGTGGATCTAACCAGTCTGACTGAAGCAAGCACAGGCGAGAAGCGTAAAAGAGAAGGAAGATTAAGATCTAGAGTTTGGCAACACTTTACAAAGCTAATTAAGGAGGATGGAACTTGTGACAAATGCAAGTGTAATCATTGCCACAAAATTTTCACTTCTTCAACCCGAAGTGGAACGACTCATTTGCTTCGTCATATAAGTGAAGGAATATGTCCAGCATTTAAGAAAGTCAAAAAGGAAAACTCACCATCAATTTTCAGCTATATAGGTGGTAGCATAGACCGAAAAGTTGGTATTAACCCTTGGAAGTTTGATCAAGAACTAGGTCAAGCATCTTTTGAACAGTCAATTGACACTCATGATGACTTGTTGCCAATGGGGTTAGATGATATTGAACGTCAAACATGCACTGCGTCAGAAAGTGATTATATCAGCCAAACATCAATGCCTGTATTTTCAAAACTTCCTCAACAACCTGCTGTGAAGTCCCATCCTATTACAGAACCATGGATGACTGAATTGAAGACTTGTGTAGGCAAACTCGTTGAACTCACAAACGAACGAGTGTCAAAGCCTACTAGCACGGATAACAAGACTGGTGTAGCTGTTAGTACTCCCGATCTCTCTATAGCTTCTGTTGTTAAGTGCTTGAATGAGATGGAGGATATCCCACAATCAAGTGCAATGTATTTAGATGCTTTGGATATCGTAAGGGATCCAGAAGAAAGAGAGTGTTTCATCTGTTTAAACCCAGAGCCGCGTAGGAGATGGCTGCAAAGGATGTTGCATCGTCGTTTTCCCTTGCGCTATAGCACCGATGTTTGACCAACTGTAAGTAATCAACAATCAGCTCGTGGAGGATCACAACACTTACTCAAGAACAAGGGAGATATCGTTTAACAACCGCGCAAGGTCTTTTCATGAATAGTTGTTTTTTATGTCAAAGGTTTGAAAGATTACTTGACCTAGCTCTGATTATCCATGACCTTATGTTGTGCTTTACTTGTTGAAAGTTCGAACAGGAAATGAAAAGTTGTACTACAATAATTATAAATAAACATATATTTGTTTGATACACTGTTGTTATCAAATGGCTAAAAGAGCACAATTAATGGTGTTTTTTTTTTGGTTTTGGTTTTCGATTCAGTGTTCGGAGCCTATATTGGAATCCCCACTAAATTCGAATTACACATTACATGATCCATTTGGGGGTAGCACCTTTAACGGGATTTTCTCTATATTCGGTTTGAACTCGAAACCTTTAGTTAAGGGATAGAGAAGTCTTACTATTGCAACATATCGGTGTAGTTTCACAAAGTGGGATATAGTAACGGAAATCTAGAAACTATACGAGCAATACTATAACTAATAGTATGAACGAATAACAAAACAATACCTACTACACTTTTACGGACTAAAATTAAAGAGTGTCATGTAAATTGGAATGACAGAAAAATAGTTTTGATGGCATTTTGGAAAATGAAATTGTTACAAATAGTAATGATACACGTGTCTTTTGATAAACCCCATTTGGCTCACTCTATATAAAACTCTTTCACCCCTTCACTTTCTTCCTTAGGGTTTTTGGCAGAAATGGCGACTCGTTATCTTACTCGTTCTCTACTCACTACTCTCTCTCGCTCATACACTCCTCTTTCTCTCTCTACACCTCTTCCATCTTCTTTCTCTCTCCTCCGTTTTCGTCCACTCATCGCCGTCGCAGCGAATCTCCGAACCTTT